ATAAACGAGCTCAATAAGCAAACAAGCCGAACTCGAACTCAACAAAACTCGACTCGACTTAACTCATTTGCAGCCCTAATCTCGATAAGAAAACAATGAGAATAATATTTGCTTCTCCCATCCTTTTTTTTTGTTTCGGACTCAATTATATTAAATAAATAATTTTTATATGTAAATGTATCATAAATAATTAAGAAAAATGTTATACAAACTCAATTTTTTTTAATTCAATGATGTGCAAGACAAATGATTGGCTAATGAACAGAGAATATATGAGAGAGAAAATTATCTTAAATATTCTAATTTATTGTCATATCATTAAGTTTGACATGTAAATTTAACTTTGAGCTTAAATAGCAATGGGCATAATTTAATTTATTAAATATAATAAGTGTTAAACACCAAAATATTCATATATATATATATATATATATCTTCTTTTTCTTCTTCTTCTACCTTATCACATGTTATATTATTTTTGAGTTTTGCCACATCTTCCATTTCATCACCCCCAATTACACATAGGTGACTGTTACGCCTCCAAAATAATAGCATAAATACATCCACAAGCATATATATAAATGATAACATAAATCAAAATAAATAGTCCTTTCATTACATGAAGTCAATGATACAAAAGAGTTTGAATGAAGTAGATGCCCTATTAGCTTACACATTTCCAAGTCTTGACTTGGTTATAACAAAATGAGCTTCACTCAAATACAAATCTAGCCCTAGGGTATACAAAATAAACAAAACATGAAGCCCTTGCTTCCCAAAGGTCCCTCCAATGCTATTGCCTTGGTGGAGGCATGTCATTATTATTTGAAAATGTTATATCCAAATAGGGTGAGCCACAACCCGGTAGAAATCATCTAACATAGTATATGAAACTTTAAAAAAATATAAGTACAAGTGCCTAACAATGCATACAGTAAAACTTTTCACAACTTTATTTACTCAAAAGATATCAATTTCAAGTCTTAATCCACTTACTTTCAATTCACATTTCGATTGCTTATCTTCATCAATTCATGAGTCAATTTCATTATTTCACAACAACCGAACTGAGACTACAACTCAATTACTTTCAATTCACACAACACATATGCATAAACACTTCAAACTTCCATTTCACGGATATTTCGTCCACGGGAAGCCTTCAAACGGGACCCATGTAAACGTAGGCTATACAAGCACTACAATTGTCATTTTACAGATATTTCGTCTGTGAGCTAAGCACCTATGTATAATTTCAGGACTTTCACCCGGGACACTCCGGCCAACTTAATTATAATGGAATCCATCCCCTTTCTTCTTCCAAATAATCATTCATACATATGCAATGTATATAAACACAAAATCAAACAATATCGTACGTCTCCTTTCCACTCTCGGATAATCATACATATACAATGTATATAAACATGGCCATATTCGATGACAAACATCAAAGATTAGTTTCAATTCGCTCAATCCACATGTCATTTCTACAACAGTCAAAGTTATCCTCTACCGATAGCCCAATACAGTTATCTCTAAACAGATATTCAATCTTAAATAGATAGTTTATTCAAAACTTTCAAACGGTGTGAAATAATACATATTCAATTTCACCATTTATATGAAGTGTCATCCAATTTCACATTTCTAATAACAATTTACATTATTTGTACAAAATAATAGTTTGATCCAATTAGGACAATTTTTTTCTTTTTCCCAAATATTAGCCTAGTGTCAAAATCATCAAATTAGATATAACACAACATCATTTTCGAACCCCACAAACATTTATTTCATCTTTACCCAAAACCCCTCTTTCCATTTTTATGCCCAAACCCTAGGTTTGTTTAAAACGTCCTCAAATCACACCATTGTTACACAAGAGACAATAACTAAGCTAAATATCATATGAAGGTGCAGAAAGAATTCCTATCTCAAAGGATGAAGATGAGCCAAGCTAGAGAGAAACTCCAAGAATGCTGAAACCCACTTATATTCGGATAAAAATGTAAATCTTGAGATGCTCTATCTTTTTCTCAAAGGTACTAGGGTTAAAAGATCAATGGATTTAGATGAAATTTAAGAGAGAATGTGAATTTTTAAGAGAGAGGCTCAAGAACAAGCTTTTTGAAAAATTTTGGAGAGAGAGAATAAAAAGTGATTCAAAATGTCATCTTTTCGGACTATTATACGCGCAGTCCGCTCGAGAGTGGAAAGTCCCACTCGAGCATCAGACACAAAGTTCCGCTCGAGCGTGAAAAGTGGCACTCAAGCGTAAGATACGCATTTCCAGAAGTTTTGCAGACGAAGGGCCCTGCTCAAGCGTGAGACTAGACGCTCGAGCGTCTAATGCACATTTTCAGTATTTTCAATCCTGCAAAAGAAATACTGAAAGTTAACGAATCCCGCTTGAGCGCAAGAATGGCCGCTCGAGCGAATGAGCAAAATTTGTGAAGCCTGCTTGAGGGCAAAAATGGCCGCTCGAGCGAAAAAGTAAAATTTGTGAAGCCTGCTTGAGTGCAAAAATGCCCGCTCAAGCGAATAGCCAAAATCTAGACAACAAAGATTTGAAAAAACAAACAACTAATTTGTTCCAAACGCATAATAACAACCCGATAACCAAAATAAAGAGAAAACAATGGAAACAAAACATAAATAACCATTTTAAACCATACCAAACCGAGTCCGAAATAAGATAGATAACAGGTAAAAGCCGGAATCGCTATAGTGACAAACAACTTTAAAGAATGAGAGAAGAGTTTAAAGAAAATTGATTAGTTAATATTATCTTATTAAAAGTGTAATTAGGATAATGAAATGAGTGATGAGACATTTCTCATTATTTTTTTATCATCAGTGAATCAGTAATCATCACTTAAATATAACAAATTATTCCAAAACTTTATTGCTCTCGCCTGACGCTACCCTTGCCATCTCTCAAATTTTCTACGTCCATCCCCGCCCTAATAAAGCTAGGGTCTAGGACGTAATTGTCATTTGGCAGTGTGATGCTATCACAGTTGAAATCTCTTTATTTTCCATTAGAACTATCTCTGAACATTGACAACAAATTTAAACAACCAAACCCTAACTAGTTAACGAATATGCATATCCCCTAGCCACTTTCTTTTTTAATATGCAAGTAACCATGAAATCAGTAGCTCAAAAAACACTTTCTACTCATTTCAAGTTATGCGCATTTTTCTTTTCAATTTTTAAATTTATAAGGAGAATATGATACAATGCAAGTCCACCTCAGTCATTGATTATAAATTTTTTCTAAAAAAAAAATCACTACATCTCAGTCGACATTTTTTAAAAAATCAATAAGAAAGTGTTGATGTGAGTCTTCCTCAAGCATTGTTTTTTTTCTAGTTTCAATATCTTACAAAATATAAATAAAATAACCAAAAACAAGTGGAGACCAAATGGTATGCGTGTGATATGAGGGAGTAGTGCCACACTAAAAAAGCTGGCTTTTGGTGGTCCGTTTTAAGTAATGGCTCGTCATTTTCTTTTATTTCAGGCCATTATCCCTCTCTCTCTCCCGCTCCCTTCTTTCTGTCTCTGCCACAGTAGTAGTAGTACCCACTCAGGAATGGCACCAAAACAATTAAAACAGCTTCATTGCTACAGTTCAAATAACCTGTCACTGCCACATGAGCTGTACAGTGTAGCACTCTCTCCCTCTTATTAGAGCATCTCCAGCCGTTTATCAAATTTTTTATTAAATTTCAGTTAAAAAAGAATCATTTTTTTATTCTGATACGGACTACTTCAATAGTGGGTATCAAAACAAGGATACCGGTAAGACATATTTTTTATTTTTTTATCTCTTTGAACCTTTTGACCTATTTAAATCAAAATTTTTGTAAAGAAATCGGTAGACCGGTTAGTCATGCAGCTGATCGATCAGTTGATCTCCCCAACGGTCACACATAATAAAATGATAAAAACTGCTGCATGTTCTCACTTTGATGAATTTTTTGATAAATTCTTAATTTGATACCAATTTAGTACAACCGTTGAAGTAACAAATAATAACTTTTTCACTAAAATTCAAATTTAGGCCAAGTTTGGGAAGACTAAATAAGTGCACTTTTTATCTTTTTAAACTAAAAAGTTGAGGTTGAAAATATGAATGTTTGGGTTAATTTTTTTACTTTTTATAGAAAAATGTGTAATAAAAAATTATAAAAATTGATTTGTAGGAGAAAATTAAAATTGGGAGTTGTGCAGCCGTAATTGTTGACTTTTGATGAATAGTGATAACTTTTTAACTTTTTGAGTAACTTTTTGACCTTTTAGCTTTTTGAGGGTGTTCCCAAACTTGGCCTTAATGTCAAGTTTAGTGAACCATCGGAGATGATTTTAGACATAAAAACCAACTACATACTCTCCACACCACACATCTGTGAGAACCCATTATCTCTGTGTGGTCTCACATTTCATCTTCCTCTTCATGGGACCCACTCCCTACAACCCCATTCCTACTTCATAACAACAGTGCCTTAAAACACTGTCAAACCAAAAATTAAAAAAATAAATTCAATACAATGGGTTGTTTTGGAAAGATGGTAAAAAGTGATTTTTTAACTTTTAACCAAACTTTTAGCTTTTTTAGACAAATGATTTGAGAAGTTAGTAAAAAGTGACTTTTGACTTTTTTTTATTAATATTTATTTATGATGTCAAATATGTCAAATCATAATAAAATGACTAAACTACCCCCATTTATTTAAAATATTTACAACTGAACCTATGTAACATATTGTGACCCATGAGGGGTAAAATTGTAATTGCACCGTTGGCTAAAAACCAACTTGCCAAATGAAAAAAAAGTCAAAAAAACCAACTTTTGACTTTTGTTACTAACTAAAAAAAATGACTTTTAGCCAAGTTCCCAAAATAGCCCAATATAACAGTAACAAAAACTCTTGACCCAAATAATAATAAATAAATAAATAAAAACAGTAACAAAAGCATGGTGTAGGAGATAAATAACTAAACGATGTTTCCTTCCAAAATTTCGATAAAACATCTATTCTGTTCAGAGTCAGATCATGAGATATTACAAAACACTACTACAAAACACCAGCAAATTTGTTTTTGCCTTCTCTTTATTTAACACCAAATTGTTCATACCCATGATGACATTCTGGTTAAGTCAGTACCCAGCACATAATACCCAAAATCAGATAAAAGGGATTGTGCCCACATCCTCTTCCATCTCCCTCCTCAGTCATCTATACATACATATATATCTATATATATATACATCTTTTACAGAGCAACCTCAGTCTGCAAAGTGCTGAACTCCACCTGTGGTTGCTGCTCGACCTCCCACTTCAGATTAGAAATGATTTCATCATGCACAGGCTCGTACTCCTAATCAAAACACAAAACAAAACAAAATCACTTTATATCATTACCATTTGCCCACTACAAGATGAAAAAACATAAAACTTTGAAGACACCAAGATGGTAATCTGTGAAGATTCTTTCTTTTTCTCACCAGTTTGTCCCTACCATTTATGCGAAACTTTGATATTACTACTATCAGAACTGATGAAGTGACCAAAGAAAAAAGTGATTAATGAACAACCAACCGTGGACCCACCTCAAGTTTTTGGACGAGTTCTTTGGCGTTTGGGGCAGACACGAAGATGTGACGCTGGTATGGCTTGATGAACCCATCATCAACAGCTTTGTCAATGAAGGTCAAGAAGAAGTTGTAGTAACCATCAACATTCAACAAACCCACCTGCACCAATATTTTTAAGACTTATAAATGCTTAATTCATGGATAGTATGTTCTTCAGTATGTTTTGGAATGTGCTTACAGGCTTGTCATGGATACCCAGTTGAGCCCAAGTGATGACCTCCAATAACTCCTCCAAAGTTCCATACCCACCTGTTCGTAGAGACAAAAAGATAGAGGTTAGAGATTTGGGAAATGAAAAGGAAAATCAACATTAGGCATATCTCTAATTCTTTGAATGTGCCATATTTGTTTGAGTGTGTGTATATTTATATGAATATATATACATATATAGAGAGAGAGAGAGAGAGAAAGAGGGGGGAGAGTGAGAGAGAGGGAGGGATGAGGGATGGGACCTGGTAAGGCAATAAAGCAATCGGAATGGCGGGCCATCTCGGCCTTCCTCTGATGCATGTCTGCTACGGGCTTTACCTCCCCAACTGTCTCACCTGTCAACTGTGGCACCAAAGGATACACAAAACAACAAACATAAACATTTTTAGACACCACCAAGCCAAGAAAAAGAACAAAATGACTTTCAAATGAGATTACTGCGTGCATACCTCTTTGCTCATCAGAGTTCTAGGTATAATCCTGAGGAAAGAAGAAACATGAAGAAACCCAAAATATATGAGATACTAAAAATGAGTTCTGCAACATTAAATCTTGTAAAAACTATGATTGATGTATAGGTAGTGAAGTTGTTTGTTTATACCCAAGAACATGTCCTCCACCATCATGCACAGCTTGAGAAACCAAACCCATCAAGCCAACACTCCCTCCTCCATACACAAGATCCAATCTCCTTGACACCTTCAAAACAAAACACACAAAACTCTTGTAAACATTTCAACAAACAGATAACACAAATGTCAGTTTTGGGGTCAACAAGAAACACAAAAAATGGTAAAGCAAAAGGAACATAGGAGGAGTGTGTACCAATTCTTGGCCCAATTCAATAGCAGCATCTCTATAGCAATCCCTCTTGCCAGTACTGCTCCCACAGAACACACAAACCCTCTTGAACCTGGAATTTACCACTTTCTCCTCCATTTCCCTTGTCCTATGTGCTGTGAGAGAAATACTATAAAAACTTACAATCACTAACAGAACAGTTTCATGTAACAAAGAGCTTGGGGGTCAAGCAATATTTTCTTACCCAACCTCTATACAGAGCTGAATGGAACAGAAACTATATAGACTCCTCAATATTATAATAAAATAAAATAAAATGTTATTTCATTTCTTTTTTTTTTTCTTTTTTTAAATGAATGATATGAAAGTAATAATAAAGACAAAAGGAAAATGGAAAAGAGAAGGCAGGCTTTTTCTCCATCTTGGAATAAGGGACCGGGGTGAGGAGGTGTTGTCTAACCCTGTGATTACACGTGGCATAAAGTGATGATGAGTCGTCAAAGGTTCCGTGTGTATCATGGGTTATCGAAAGTTTAAGTAAGTCCAAATTTTAGTATAACGTCTCGTTTGATAATTAATATTTCAATTGAAAAGTTAAAAGTTTAAAAACTAACAATTTATATTAAAAAATTAGAATAAAAAAATTAAATTTTTAAATATCTTTTATAAATAAAAAAAATATTTTAAAGATATTTATTTTTTTATCTTATATTTTAATTAAAAATAAAAAATTATTAAAATAATATATCTTGAAATAAAGTCGAGCTAAAAATCAAAAACCTAAACCAAATCCAACCAACCCAAATGATTTTCTATCTTTATCTCTATCTCTATCTCTCTAGAAAATTAAGCTATACATCTGTTCGTAAAAATTATGCTAAATCTTGATCAACAATAACTAAGTAGTAATTTTAAAAAGATAATTTAGTAAGAACAATTAAGTAAATTGTGGAATTGGTTCAAATTTCTCAAAAGAATGAGGATTTTTTTGGAATAACTAATAATTACAAAGTAAATAAGTAGTGTACGGGGAGCAAATATTCCGGCGTGCCCGTATTCCTTTCTTCCAAGCTCCGTCGATATCCGATCACCTGTGAGCAAATAACGGTGAGCTACCCGGCGGTGTGTGGCCGGAAAAACCCTCCGACGGTCAAGTTAGCACACACCTTAGAGGGAATAGAGAGAAGGGAGAGAGTGTTTGAGTGTAAGAAATCCTTACAGATGTGTTCGTGTGTCGCGTATGGGGGGCGCAGGCATGCTTTTATACCTTCTGAACCCCATATCCACTCCCAGTCATCTCCTGACACGTGGCTCTGCTATCCCATCTGTCAGCATAAACCATGCCATTCACCATCTAACCTCAACTGGTAGACTTCACAGCTGGAGCTCGGCAGCCGAGCTGTTCTACCTCGGCCATGTCATGCTTCAAACCCATGCGCCCAGCCGGACAAACACATGAAGGGCTGGTCTAGGCGGCATCTCGGCAAAGCCTAGCCCGGGCTCCTCCTTTGGTCGGCCTTCTCGCCGGTCAATCAACTACCTCGGCTGACCGCGCCTTTCCGAGCGCCGGTCTCTCGGTCTGTCTGGTTTCGACCATCCTCGGACCAAGCATCCTGGTCTGACCGGTCACTTCCCGACCAAGCAACTTCTGCACGGTCCGGGGCGGCACACACAGTCCAAACCCTGCCCGGCCCAAGTTCTGGTAGCCCATCTCCGGGTGAACAGTTGATCATCTCGGCCCAATGCACTGCTGGGCCCTCAACTTGCTCGGTCGATACCCCGGCCCAACACCGGATCATAAATCACCCTCTCAAGTAGTAATTCCAAAATGAAACCACTGAAATTCACCAAGTTACAAACCATAAATTATAGAAGAAATTACTCCTAAGTTACAATCAACTACTCCTGATTTAAAAGCTATGTGTTGTTGAGATGATGGTATCATTTCTTTCTTCACTTTTCAGCCTTTATAGCCTTCTTTCTTTCTCTAACTCCTGATTACACGATTCTTCAAATCTGTAATTGTTACTGGATATCTGTTGTAATTGCCCTTTTACTTTCAAATATTCAAACGCTGTCACATATTCACTCTTACATGTTGAATAACCATCCTTACATGATGCCACATATCCATCACCACTTTTGGTCTTCCATCGACAAAGAGAAACTCCCACTTTACACATGATTCCTTGCTTTCTAAATCTATAACTTAGTTTAAAAGTAATGATACATACCTCTAATTTGAGAGTTCTAAATGGAGCACTAATGAGGTGGAAGAGAGAGAGAGTAGAGAGAGATAGAGAAAAAAGTGTGGACTCCACATTCATATAAGTACACTCCACATCATTAGAGTTACATTAGAGCTCTCAAATTAGAGCTCTCAAACATTATTGCTTAGTCTAATAATGTCACGACCCAAATCCGCCCCTATGGGTTTAGCACTGTAACCGGCCAGTAATCCAAGATTACCGAAGGCCTGCTTAACAGTAATACAGTAAAACAGAGTACAAGGGCATGGCGGAAACCAAAACAGTAAATAAACAATGTCCAATGAGTTGTGACAGTCTGTATGCCAAAAAGACTTTTCATACACATATACATGAACAGTACAAAACGGTATGTACATATATATACAATCATTCAGTTCAGGGACCTAATCCCTATTAAACAGTCCAGTAACAGTCTATACAGTTATACAAATAGATACAGAGACAGACGGGGAAATTAAAACACCCCTAAGCCATAACTTAACAGGCTCGGAACCTCATAGTGAGGCACAGTGGTTGGCTTGGCAAACCTGGAGCTTAACCCCGACGCTTCTAGCCACGGTCTGGTGCCTGTACACCTACATATATATATGAGCAGTGAGGTAAAGCCCAGTGAATAACGTAATGCGTAAAGAGGTTAAGAATGAATGTCCTTACAGTAATGAAAACAGTTCGTTAATTCAGTATATCAGTCATTTAGTCATATGGGGTACATCCATTAGCATAACAGTACAGTAAACAGTAGGTCTTAAAAGACCGAACAGTAATGATGGCCATCAATCAGTAACAGTAGTGGTTCTAACAAGGGAACCGACAGAGATCTCTGTAACAGTAACAGTAAACAGTAGTTGCTAAGGATGCCACAATACAGTTTAGAATATAGGACATGCATTCATTCAATTAACAGTATCAGTTCAGAAAGCAGTACAGTTCAATTGTTCAGAAGATAATCATTTTGAACATATCTTTACACAGTTGTTACTCACAGAGCTCTGGGCTACAGTAAAGTTAGAGCGCGTCCCCAGTCGCCAACCCTACACAGTTACAGATTGAACACACACTAAGCTACACAGTTGGGAAAGATAATAACTTAATCCCTAATTTTGCCTCTGTGTGTTTTACATCTATATCCTCATTAAAATGTCTTAAACTAGGCCTAAGAATGCCTAGGATGGGGATGAGGTTGCAAAGATGCATTCAGAAAACAAGGTTCATGCTCGAACGTAGGTTACTCCGCTCGAGCGGATATGCAGACAAAGGTTTCCGCTCGAGCGTAGGCTTACCCGATCAAGCGTTCTGCAAAACAGTCAAAAGTGCTGGATAGGTGAAAATCACGCTCGATTGGGCGTTCGACACCCGCTCGAGCATGAGACTCAATGTCCCGCTCGAGCGTCAATTATTCCGCTCGAGCGAACTTCAAAACAGTGCAAAGTACTGGGAGCACGAATTTCACGCTCGAGCGCCAGTCACCCAGCTCAAGCGTGAGTTCAAAATCTGGAATTCCCAGGTTTGAACCTCAAGCTCAAATCCAAGTTTTAAAACATAAATTTCGATCCTCTTGAGCCAATTTTCCAGAAAACATCCCAAAACTCATAGTTTAACATGATTCCAAAGCTCAATTGTAAAATCAAGCCCAAGTGTGTTTTAAACAACTCAATTTCAAACCAACTTTCATAAACATAATTCAAACATAACATGCATGAATTTAAACCATTTCAAAGCTTCAATTTCATGCTCTAATGAGCCAATTCTTCAAAGACAAGATGGAATCATGGTTCATGATCAAAAGATGAACATGCATGTGGGAAATGATGAACTTACAACCTCAAAACTCTTCAATACAAACATGCATGCATGGAATGAGCTATAATCCAACATGTTAGAACTAAATCATGACTTGGCTCCTCAATTCGACATGAACCATGCAAGAATCAACTTAAACACAACAATGAAAGGTTGAATTTCCTTACCTAAGTCTTCAATCACAAGACTAGAAGCTTAATTAGACAATTGTCCTTCAATTCTTCAAGTTCTCTAAGCCAACTCTCAAGAACACTCACTTCTCTCCCTCTCTCCCTCTTGGTCGGCAAGTCTAAGAAAGAATGGGCTGATGAAGTGTTGTAATGTTAGTATTAGAGATCAACTAAGAGGCTCGTGAAAGTCCACTAGGTGACAAAATGGCAATTAAGTCCAACTCTTGTAATTTAACTCATTTTAATCCAATTTAGGCCTCGTTTGGGAACAGGCTAATTTAGTAACTTTTTGGCTAAAAAGGTAGGTAAAAAAAATTTGTATGTTTGGGATGACTTTTTGGCTAATTACGAAAAGATGTGCAAAAAGTAGAGATAAAAGAGAATCTTTGACTTTTTGGTATGGATTGTTGACTTTTTGGCTAATTTAGTAACTTTTTGGCTAATTGGCTAAAATAGCCTCTTGCCAAACGAGGCCTTAATCATACCAAATCACATTTTAACTGAATATGCCATAAAATCACATTAATTCTAAGGATCACAAATCATCAATCAATTTCAGATTCGGCCGCCGATAAGGCCTTCAATTCGCAATTAAACACAAAGGCATGAATAGACAATCAAACAGTCAACAGATAGACATACAATTAAACAGATATACTTAATCAATTCAGTTCCAGATTTCAGTCAGTCAGTTCAGTACTTCAATTAATTCAGTTACCAATCATAATCAGTTTCAGTTTAGCAGTAATTAATGATTAATCGGTAAACAGTGACGAGGGTTGTTACAAATAACTATCGAGCTATCCCAAACATAGGATCAACTCTCATCGGTGACACTTGTCCTTTAATTGATCCAAGATCCCCACTTTATCTCTACCACATGTCATTACCTAGTTGATCTATATGTTAACAAGAATTCAATAAAAATGGCAAAAATGCTTTAGAGCTTTAATATAAGAGCTCTAATAGCTCTAATGGGAAGGTGAGACCCATCATCAATCAATTTCAGATTCGGCCGCCGATAAGGCCTTCAA